GGGGGGGATTGGTCGGCTCGATGACGGGGCTGTGGTGGAGCCGCCCCACCTGCCGGCTGTCGGCCGCTCAGAGCGCGGCGTGCTGACGCCCGGCGGCTGTTGCAGCTCACCGACCGGCCGTCCATCATCAACGTCAAGATCGACCCGCTGTCGACGCGCCGGCCTCAGGCGCACGACTGGCTGACCCGGGCCAAGATGTGACCTGGTCCGGAGCCGGCCGCCGGTGGCGCCGCCCAGCGGTGACGCGGCCGCGGCCCTCACGCCGGAGGTCACGCGCCAGGGGTGGCGGCGCATCCTCGTCAGGGTTACGCCCTTGTTTGCCCCGCCGCGTCGGTGCGGCGCAGGGCGTCGCGATCACGAGAGTGGAGGGCAGGGCTACGCCCTGGGACCTTTTAACCTCGATTGAGCGGCTATGAATGTATCAGGAATATTATGGGCTGTTTTTTACCTCGAAAGGTGCACTATCTGTATTGTTATTGAGTCATACATGCCAGCGCCTTGGACATTGCTTGAAGGTCGAATCGAATAATAAAGGGAAAACGCGGGACCAGCTGTCTGTGAGCAGCGTGTGTATGGAACCGAGCTTGAACTTGTTTGTTACAAATAAACTGTGATCGATGATCAGTACCTTGGCGTGTGTTATGCAAATCTTGTTCACTCCTGGGCCGCTTCCCGCACTAGTCGTTACAGATGCAGATGAAAGGGACGTAGTAGCTGAGTGGTTACCGCCTAGGCCTCGCAGCCGAAGGGCCTGGGCTGGAATCCCGTCCGCGCCATGGCCCCTGAGCGTTAATATGGCCCCTGCAGTGGCGGGCGACCCGTTCAAGGATCGCGATGACATGCTTCGTGTTCCCTTGAAAATCCGACGTGTATATTGACGCCAATCCTTGATGCGTTGTGTGTCAATAATTGTGTAACTTTATCGTATAGCACACAGGTTTGATAGGATACCATGACGCTCTTTGCACGTGATGTGTATATACGTTTTACGGAGGATTTAAATGCTGTTAAATTTGTGAGATGAAATGTTTGAATGTATACGATATTGTTGGTACTGGACAGATCTTCGGATAATATACGTCGGTTGTGGGATGTGCGGCTCAGCGAGGCGCGAGTCTAGATGACGTCATCGGTCGGGCGCCGATGGGGAGGACGGCACTCTCCCAGCACCGTGAGCGCCGTCTGAGGTGCAGTGACGTCACCGGTAAGGAAGGTGGGTAGCAGGGGCAGCCTCCCTGACCCTGTGGAACGAACGAGGCAGGGACAAAAGTATATGTCTGCTCCGCCCCGCGATTCAGCCAACAACGCCAACCAACTTGTGACAAATTTGTCGCAGAATTGTTTACGAGCATGATTCACCAGCCAGCAGGCGTTCGTTTCAGGGCAACGTACGTGTCAGCTAGTGGGAACCAAACCTGAACACGGCGATACAACCCTTCACTGGGCGCGGGTATGGAAACAGGCGAAAATCGCTATGTTCGGTAAAGGCTCCATGCATGGTAGACAAGACATGGTCCGGAATTGCGTTGAAAACTGCTGGTATCCGACAGGACTGGGCTGTTGCTCTTTCTGGATAGATGCCTCTCTCTCGTAACGCTGCTATCGCACGGAATTGGACGGCGCCGCTACTCGCTATTCCCAGCTTCGGTCACGCTGAAATGCGCCGTGTTTTCCATGTGACGCTGGCAGACCTGAGGCACGAGCTGAAGTGTTGGACTGAGGTGAGCAGGGTGTACTGGGGTGCATGAGCCGGTGACTTTCCTAGCTGTCTGAAAATTTACCATGATCACTTATTGTGTAAAGCAGATGGGATGCCTGCCACATTATGTATTTTCAAATTCTGCTCCCTTACACGACACCGCAGCAGAAAATAAATTTTCGGAAACTTGCCTGCCTTAGGCATGATTTGGTTTACCGGGCACTCATTGGCCACTCCTTCAGCGTAGCCGACTTGATCTGCTGTTTTGTGAAGAACGAAGATCCTCACTTCTCATAAACAAGTTCCGAGCTATAGTGGGTGTTTAGCGTGACCCGGTGTTTCCAGAAAATAATTGACCTTCCATATGTTTCCGGCTTTTCATCTGACTTGCTTGCCATTATCATTTTTACGTTATCTGACCGAAATTGTAGTCATTATACAGGCCTTCTAAGGTGCGGGCACGTTCTGTAATTGCCATTTTTTCCTCATTTGCATGAAGAATAAACTCATCACATTCAGACGTTTTATGAAGCGCCATAAATAAAGGTTGACTAGAGCGTACACAGAAAGCTTTGGATTAGCACTTCATGTTTGATATTGCACTAAATGATCACAAAAGTTAGTGATCTTTGACCCAATAGGACATAACTAATTACACTAACTACCCAGACATCGACCGTGAACTTTTAAGTCGCAAGCCTACGATTCGGTGGTCGATCACTGACATATGTATGCTCACATGTTTAGATCTATGCCGGTACCCGCAGTCGTGTACGAGTGGTTCAGACTCCCCAGCTCGGCATTTGGAATGCACCTGGGGTGCTGCAATCAGCCACCCCGAAGGTGGCTGATTGACCTGACAGATGCCAGTTGGTGGAGCGTGAAAGGGGCTCCACGATTATGCGGCGTAACCATGTCAATGCGATCGGTGACGCGTAAAAGCTTTCTGCGTGAGGTTGTGACAAGATATTCTGACGAAAGGCGCTGAGTGGTAGTGGCTATCTCTGCCAGCCGTGTGTGCTCAACTAGACGCCTAATGCATTTTTGAAAAACAGTGACGTGTATTTCGGGGCTTAACACAAGCAGAATCATGTAATGGGCAGTGACAACCTTCCTCTTCAAAACTTTGCTAGTGTAGGACTAGCAAATATCGCCGGTTGTCACCATGTGCTTGACACAGGGTGCCAGATCGTGACATCTAGACAAACGCATCGGACACGCTGCTTGGCACTTATGGCGCGGGGCACTGCACCATTTTACCCCTGCCCGACGAGCGCACCTGGTGAACCCCTGTCCCTTAAACCAGAACCGTTCAGAAATACATCCCGCAAACTCAAGTGGCTTTCTGATCGTCGTCGTTAGCGGTAGCACTTGTCAGGCCTTGCCCAAAACGTCGGATATGTTTTTAATGTTTCGTGAAATGCCTAAAAATCATACATCGTTCAAGCAAATAGCGCAACGCTGTTGCCAACGGAAAACGCCAGCGAACTCGTGACATTTCAAGTGAGGTCTAGGATTTTCAATGAGGTTGCGCAATAGTGGTAATTTTGTGAGAGCTACATGAAGCACTAACACTTTATTTTCATTTGCCGTGCATGATAAGATAGTATGCTACCATTTACCGCATGAAACAGTTTTATCCAGTGCGGTTTGAGAAAGAAGGCTGGTGAACTAGGTTAATCGGCATGCATGTATAGGTTGGTGCAAAAGTAAACAGAGACTTAACACAGATTGAATCTGAAAAGTGAGGGGGTGGGGGGGGGGGGCAGATAACATTGCGAGTATCATATATATATATATATATATATATATATATATATATATATATAAAGCCTTCTTGAAATAGCCAGTTTAAGAAAAAACAACACGCCGTCACAAGAGCCGGCTTATTACTTGGATGTCCGGCGAACATCACTTGATTGAATTGAGTGTCATACATGAAGATTTATGCACTTCGACTGGTATAGCGTTAAAGGCTTCGGTTCGCATGTTTTGACGATAGTTGTTGTGAAACAGAACAATATAAGCTGCTTCACAAATTCCCGATGCATTAGAGTCGTTATGACATAACCAGTTATGAGGCATGACTGACATATTCCCCTTCCGCGCTGCCATGAAGCAATGCTAACTATTGCCGCCGTGATGGCCGTCTGTGGCAAATCGAGGTCCTTCGCTATTCCACTCGGTCTCTCGCGACCGTTCGATGCTGACTGAGCGTCGCGGAATGTGCGGAATGGGGGCGAAGGGGCGCGCCAGCAGGCTGTGAGTGTGAGCCGGTGCCTGTGACCGCCACGAGGTCGGAGATACCGGCGGTCACGGCGCGGCGTCACATGGCCCTCTGTCGGCCGACGGACCCACCACACGGGTCGTCACGCGACCGTACACGCACTCGCGGCCGAGGCAACCGCCCGTGATGGATTATAGCACCAAGGTCGTTTGTCGAGAGTCCTCCCCTGATGGGCCCAACGTGCTTCTCGAGATGTTCTCGTCGATACCACGCAGCTCGCTGGGGAGAAGCCAGCCCATCCTGCGGACCCCACGGCTCTCTGTCGCGCTACGAGCCGTGCATGTTGGGCCGGACAGTGAGAGGCAACGCCGGGAGCGTCGCTTGGACAGACCACTCCCGTCGGACGCTCCGCTCAGTGGCCCGTTACGGCTCGATTGTGCCTGCTGGACAGCCCACTCACGTACTCGTCCAGTCGAGAGGTTGTGCAAACCATCGTAGCGCACACACGGCCTCGCGTGTGGACTCGGATAGTCCATGGCCTATTACCGACGTTGCAAGAGAGGAGAATGTGGTGTGGTACGAGTCGGCATTTGGTTCCAACGGAACGCTAGGCGAGATGAGCCTGGTGAATTAATTGGCTTCGCTCGTAACTTAGAGCCTTTCATGCTACACAGATTGACCTCGAATATTTTTTTTTTCATTGATGAGGGGTCTTCAGCGTCGAGAGACACAAGGCGCCGCCATCAGCAGCTTCGAGGACGAGCAAAGAGCACATTCCGATGGAATTTCAAGGAGACCCCGTCCAGCGGCCGTCACAAGCACGTCACCACTCCAGACGCACCGCAGAGCCTGTTTGTAACCCGACGCGACCATCTGCGCCATAGCGTGTCCTCGTCGCTGCGGATCGGACGTCGCCGAGCGGCTGCGAGACGGCGAGCGGCGGCGCCGACGTCATTTCCCCACCGCCGGCGGCACCTGGCTGCACGCGCCGGCCGGCCGCGCGCCCGGCGTCTCACTCACACTTTCGCTGGTGGCGCCCTTGGGCAGACGCGGAGCGCGCGAGCTGACCCATTTGTCGGCGGTTCGGCTGAGGGGTGCGCCGCCGACCGCTGGGCGGACACTGCGGGCTGCTGCAGACGGACGCCAGGCGGGTACGCTGCGGCCCGCTCCGCCCTGCAGGCGCCCGGCCGTCGGCTAGCCCGTCGGTGATCGCTCGGGAGACCGATGGGCCGCTGGAGCGAGTCGCGGCGGCGACCCAGCTCGCTGGCCGCCCCGCACGTGCTGACCGTGCAGCGGTGCGCGGCGGCTCTGCTCGTGTTACTCTCGTACGGCGCCTTGCTGCGACTCGCTTACTCCATCTGGCTGCGCGACGTCGCCCCGGAGGCCCACCGGCGTCAAGCCACCCTGCCTGCCGACTACCAGACGTACAACAGCTGGCGCACGTCAGCTGAGCCCCGCCGCACGTCCGAGGACGCCGGCCTGGTGAGCACGTCCCCGCGCCGGACAGCAGCGCTGCTTGGCCAGCCGTACGCCGACGAGGAGGGCCCGTACCCGACAGGCGAGCAGGCGGGCGACTCGGAGCGGCCCGGCGGAGGCCGTGAGGACTACGACGACAGCGACCTGCTGGAAGACTTCGAGCCGGACGAAGACGCCTTCGAGAGCCGAGAGGAGGACGCCGCCGACGATGACGCGGACGATGACGCCGAGCCGCCGGTGAACAGGCGGCTGCTGGTGTTCACCAGCGTGCCTCAGGCGGGCAGCGAGGTGATCACGCTGCTGCTCAGGTGGCTTTCTGGGCAGAACCAGTTCAGCTACGTGCAGCTGACGACGGCCGGCGGCGGCCCGCTGCAGCCAGCCGAACAGGTGAGCTACGCTGTCACGCATGAGAATAGCAAACACAGTGTACCCGCAGTACACCAGTCCACCTAAAAATCTACATTGTTTCGAACGTTGCATTCACAATCGCACTCATGTTTTGATATTGCCGCCGCTGCGCTGTGGCCAGTACAGCGCTGCGACACTAACCGGCTCTTGGCCTCGCGATACCGTTGTTACTCCATTGCTCCGGGACATAGGCACTTCCAACCTCCCGGTGTCTGAGATCAACACTATACGTACCATGGCGACAATCACGTCCACTGCCAAGAGCTCGACTCTGTGGACGTCGTCTCGATAGGTTTAAGTTATAAGCGGTTCTCGCTTTCATGGTAACGCGAAGAAGCGACGCTTTTGGCGCCGGTAGAGCCGCCATCAGCGATGTAACGCTGCCTTGTGTCTGTCAATTCCAAGTCGATTCAGTTCCACATGTTTACTCGGAAACACTACCTGCAACACGCCGTAACGCGCACTCGGGGCACGGAACAGATAACATTCACTTGCGGGGCCCGGTTACCGCGACGCGCAAACAGTTGACACCGATAGCATCACGTTAGCAACGCCTCCAGCCTCACTGCATTCATTTCGGATCTCAATGACGCGTGGCGTGCCCTGATAGGTTTTCTGAGCTTTCAGTGTCTGCATCTCTGGACGGTCCCCTGCGTGTAGGTAAACTATATTCATCGTCGCTCAAGCTTTGCTGCAGGTGTTGTATGGCTTGGCTTCACCGCGGCTTGTTTCGTTAAGATGTACGAAAAGTGCTTTCCTATTAAAGGCCGCCATATAATATATGCCTTCATATATAGGCCACCATGTGATCGTGCCTCACCACATAATATACACATGACATGCCTGGTGAGGCGTGTAAAAGGAACGTTCCACATCTGAAGATGCTGAGGCAAGGGGCAGATATGATGGAATAGCCCCACTTGTACCTGATGGTGTGTTGTTAAGGCTGAAAAACGTTTATGAATAACAAAATTTCGCTTATCAGTATGCATGCTCCACATTATGTCGTTTCATTAAGTCATCGTGCCTTGCACAACATTGATTAAGAGCCAGCTAACGACCGTGATATCTAGAAATCGTGCTCTCGAACGCCAGATATGAACGACTCGACAATTGCGTTTTGCTTGAACTTGACCGCCGTATGGGCATTGAAATGGCAGGATTTGAATGACGCTATGATGGCGCCATGGATGTCTGGGTGATCCTGAAATAGTCTCTCGAGAACGTTTTCACATCTGAACGGGCGTGTGGCTCAGGAGCTAGAGGGGCTAGTTCTCAACAAGGACAGGGTGTGAACTGCAATGGCTGATCTTCACGGCGGCTATTCCATTCAAAACCCCATACAGATGTGAAACACTCCCTTTAGCTCATGTCTCAACAGTATGAAGTTGACCTTCCATTGTTATGCGCTTGTGGATCTCTCGGACGCAATACCCGTGCAGCGCGGATCCCCGCACCCAGGCAATACATATCACGTCATCGTTACTTCCGTTGCTTTCACCGTGGCAAGACTCCAGCCTCGTCGCATTGATTTACATAGCACTGATGCCCGGTGTGTCCTGATAAGTGTTTCTAAACTTACAATGCTCGCGTCAATTGGCAGTTAGCCGCATTTAGGGATGCAACATTCTTCAAAATGAGGTCAGAGCTGTTACGCTGACAGCTGTCGATTATCGACCCCGGTTAAACGACGTTATGAGGCAAACATTTACTCTGATGTCAAAACTCTGGCGTTTCAACGGCGGTTATGATCACAGTTGGATAGAGGCAAGAAAGCATTTCGTTCAGAACACAAGACATGTGAATACAGAAAGCACTCCGAACTCACTCACACTGCCACTAAAAAGGTGACAAAATGAAACTAATCTGCGCCCTCACATCGTAACTCACCCATCATACACGGCCCGTGCTAATTGCTGCACGAAACACAGGCAGGTTAACACTTACCACGAACATCATGCACCACGAACACTGCACGAACGTCACGAACATCCCAGGATTCAGTGCTAACGTCTCAGTGGCCAAGACACGGAACTGTTCAGGGGTGGTCGAAACAGAGACGGCTTAGCCGAAAGACTTCGATGGCCAGTTCTAATTATCAGGATGGAAATGTATTTGTCAGTGGGACTTGTGTTTATCTCGTTAGCGCGCCTTATTTCGGGTCTCATGATGACGTTTGTATGTTTAGCCTCAGACGAAGATTGCGAATGTGCAGCGCTTCTTAAATCTCGAGATCTCGCTATCTTAAGCTGTTGCTAAAGCTATTATTTTCAAACTGATCTTTGTCGCGCCACACTTCATTGTTACGTGTCGGTCCATCACGTGTTCGCCAAGTAGTGTACACTTCCTCCTGTACGCCATCCGTAATTGTATGTCTTCATGGTGTTCATTGAACTGGTCACAAATGCTTTACCTTGTTCCTCCCACACATTCCTTGGGCAGAGGTAACAAAAGATATTACACACTCCGTTCTTACGTTGCGTCACGCTGTGTTCTGCGTTCTATGTGTGCATTTTCCTTTCAGCCCATTAAGCCATATGTAAAAAGCCTTTCTCCCCGCTGGATACGTTGGCGTTTCCTGCAATGATCGCACTAGCATGGACTTTATACTCGGCCCACTTTTCCTGGCTACTTTAAGGTCTTGCACGGCGTCCTATCGTACGAGGGCATTGGCCGGTCTGGTCAGCTCATCTATGAGTACGAGTTGCACATACAAATCATGTATTACAAACACATGACAAACTATGCAAACAGATTCGAGGCATGTTTACATCCAATAATCTAAGGTTCCTTTCCATTGCCCGCTACTGCAACCCGCGTCTTGGTAGGGTTCAAACTCCTTCCACTAGATTTTTGCAGTGGGAGTTGTGAGTCAAGCTCGTGTGTTTTAAGTTAGAGTTGATTTTCATCGGTTTCATTTTTGTGGCTTTGCAAGTCATGAAATTCGGCCTAGTCCTCATCCGTGAGTAATCCATTTATTCTGGTTCCGTCCATTCCGCCATTTACGGACCGCTCCCACCGGTGAAGCGCTCCGGGTTCAGCGCTGCTCCCACTGGTGAAACGCTCCGGGTCCAGCGCTGTTCCCACCGTTGAAGCGCTTAAGGTTCAGCGCTGCTCCCACCGGTGAAGCGCTTTGGGTCCAGCGCTGCTTCCGCCGGTGAAGTGCCCTAAGTCCAGCCCAGCTGGCCCCACCGGCTAAGCGCTCTGTGTCCAGCGCTGCTCCCACCGGTGAAGCGCCCTAAGTCCAGCCCAGCTGGCTCCACGGCTCGTCTGGTCCAGGCTGAGCCTGCTCGGCGCCGCTGTCCGGACGTCAGGCATTTGCTCGATGACGCCATGACGGGCGTGGCGGGTGGCCCCGGTGGCCGTTGCCCAACGCGGGCTAATGACGCTGCCCACTCTCGGGCCGGCGGACAATCACGGCAGTCTGCCCGCCTGCAGCTGTCGGCCACCCAGCGGCCTGTGTGAAGCCTTCTCCGCGCGGCTGAGCGATCCACAGCTACGTGGGATTCACACGCCCCCTCCCCCCTCCGCTGTATGGTTTGCCATTTCCATTTGGACTTACCCTTTGGTCATCTTTGTTCGCTGTTTACTGCGGTTTATTGTCTACTTCTTATTTAACCGTTCTCTATTCCACCTTTGTCTTCAATAACTACTAGTATTCACTTGAGCTTTCTTATGCTTTTCTTTATCAATCCATTTTAACCTTATGGCGCTGCAAGCCACAGGGCCTTAGTACCTCTCATAGGTCATCATGCTCCACCCGTCGAGAGCACACAGAACAAACTCATCTGATAAAGGTTCAGATACACCAAATCAGTTCAACGTAAGGACGGGACTTGTAGTGTAATGCCCACTACATCGTTCAAAGCATGCCAGCCACCCTCCTCGCGGCAGGTGGGAGCCAATCACAGAGCGGTAGGCAGGCACATAATCCGAACGGCTCAGCGTTTTCAACGCAGGCGAGGTACAGATACTTTGGCGCTGCTGATTTTGCGCTGGATTGTTTTAAGCATGGCGTTATTATCCAGGCTGGGTATTGGGAGAGCTCATCTGATTGATGACCAAAGCACCGTAGTTATGCCATCTATAAACCTTTTAATGTGCCTTCTAGTGTAGTTTTCTAATATGCCTTTGTTGCAGTTGGATAGAGTGAAGGTACACCTTTTTGAAAGAGATTGGACGTGCTAAAGATGCCTTTAGTTCCAAATACACCATGCTCCTCCGATTAGGTCACGTATTGCTTTTTGCCAGATAGCTCTCTTCAATATCTGATAATTCTGCGTATACTGGCTTGGAAACAGACCCAATGGGAAACTCACTCCTCCTGGTTGTCCTCCCAGCACCACTGCATTTTAGTGTATAACATTTTGGCCGCGAACAAAGTGCAAAAGGAGCAATGCATGAGGCTATTGACAATTTGCTTCGGTAATCAAATGTTTGTGTTAACGAATGTTGTTTTTTATAATTGCTAGTTTAGTATTGGAAACAACGAGACATTGGCAAAAATCGCCCACGCGCATGATTCACATAGTCATGGATATGGATAGGCCAATTCCTATCTGAATCGTAGCAGCATTCCTTTAAGTGGTTGTTGCGTCTGCCGCTTGTCCTCATGAGGGATATGACGGTAGGAGACCGCAGCGTACCAGTAAGACCTGAAAGTCCTCGTATAAACTTAGCCAAGTGCACAAGGCTGCGGCGCGCCCGCGGGAAGGACAGATTTCTCCTCTCCGGACCAGTTTCAGTTCCGTCGCCGGCCGCGTTTCACTAGATTGTCCCTGGGAAGAGCCCAGCCGCGCCGCACGGCCCGGACGCTGGAACAACGCGGAACGGACCCTGGAACAGCGCGGACCAAACTATGGACCAGCACGGACCAGACCCCGGACCAGTGCGGACCGGACCATAGAACAGCACGATCCAGACCCTGGAACAGCGCGGACCGAACCCTGGAACAGCGCGGCTCTAACCCTGGAGCAGCGCGGCTTTAACCCCGGAACAGCGCGGAACGGACCCTGGAACAGCTCGGCTCTAACCCTGGAACAGCGCGGCTCTAGCCCTGGAGCACCGCGGCTTTAACCCTGGAACAGCACGGACCGAACCCTGGACCAGCGCGCACCGGGCCCTGGACCAGCGCGGACTGGACCTTGGACCAGCGCGGACGGGGCGGCCGGCGGGCAGCCGGCGGCGCTGCGTTAATAAAGCAGACAGAGGACGTTATGGGTTCTGGCTGACCAGTCGGAGTTTGAAACCTGAAGGCTTTCAATGAGCCTTCTTGCGAGTGTTTGCACAAATACATTCGGCTCTAGCATCTAGCGGATGATAAAGGGAAATGTATCTCGTCCTTCGCTCTGCACCTCGTCGCCTCTGCTCTGCGGTGGGGACAATTTTCACACGACGGCTAGAGTGGCGGCCGACCTTATTAATGCCAAACTGAAGATGCGTTATTGGAGCTGGCACGGAGCGCGCGAGGCACCGGAAGCTTTGCAGGTGACGGACCGGTTTGGGCCATATCTCGGCGATTGACCGCCGTATGATCATGTGACAGCGTCCACGGCTCGGTCCGACAGTTATGCAGCCGAGTTTTAATGTTTTCGGCGGTTTTGAGCGCTGCGGCGAGATCAGGACCTGTTTGCCAGTGCTTCTCTCCCATTACCTCTGTGGTGCTGACCGGCTAGCGGCGCGCAGAATCCGGCTTTCTGCCCTCACTCACCGGCTAGTCTTCTGTTTATCGATAGCAGACCCTCTCTTCTTAATATCGCCGGTTAATCTGGAGCCTTCGTAACTCAGGGTAAGCTGCTACTGCTGGCAATTGATTTGTTGCTTCTAAGGGCGCCCTGTTTGCGAATAGTTCGTTCGTGTTTGTTCATTAATTTAGTTTGATGAGCACACAGCTTTACACATAAAATAAAGTTGTTCCGCGTTGATTTCCTCGCTGCTACAAGGCCTGGCGCAAGCTGACTCTAGAGGGTCTCTGGCGAGCCCAAGAAATCGCACTGTGCGCACTGTTAGTCGGTGTCAGCGCCGTCCAGTTTTACAGGCATCACATTAGCGCGAGCTATGAACAAATACTTCGTTGAAAATGACCAACAAAATAAACTTGCTGAAAACGCACACAATGATGATGTTAGCTTTTGGACGAGCAAAGATTGTCAAAACTCAGAAATAAAAGGTGTGGCAGGCGAGCAGGTAGCCAAGCGACCCATAGTATCGGCAAGAGAAGAGCTTTTTAACTCCCTTGCTCTTTCTGCTGGCCTTCAGCGTCGAAGACTTTGTACTGCAGCCCTCCGTAGCCGCAAGAGCCGACGGTCTGAAGAAGCAACTGTTTATCCCCAAGCAGGAGCCCAGCGTCGGCGGTCTGCAGGGCTGGCGGATACGTTGCACCAAGTTAGCCTAATTAACCCATGACCAGAATGTTGCTGGCTCGCCGCACTATATTTTATCTTATCTGTGGGCAAACACCAATTTCGTGTCAGCCACTCGAAAATCTGACTTCTTCCAACCCCATGCTGTCCCCAATCCTAATAGCAGATGTTTGGCCCAGCCCATGGTCTACCAATGAGCACAACGCAACCCTCAATAGTCCCCAACTAGCAGAAAAGTAACGTCGGTATCTTTTCAACCAGTTTCACGTGGCAAGAGAGTAAATTTGGCAAAGGAAATCTTGTTTTACATGGTTAGAGCCGTGCGCTGAATTGCACATAGATGAGCGAAAGGGTACCTAAATATGCTTGCTTTGTGAAGTGTTGAGCTTGAAACGAAAGCAAGACAGGGCACATTTTCGGAAACGAATGGTTGTAGGGCGATGCCAAAGGAACATGCTGTGTGTTACGTCTCCACGAGATGTGACTTTTTGGAAATGTATTACGACGCTGTTCTTTAAAACTAAAGAGCATAACCATGATCATCTTCATCACCCTCATTATCATAATCATCATATTTATTAACAAACCCTGTGATTAAATGTGAACGTAAGTCAGAAAGGCACAAACGCTTAAATCGAACCACGTTGCCTGAAATAGACAGAGGTGAAGGCTGGGTTGCAACCGCCGCTACGGTACAGCTCGCCCAACTATTTACATGGAGTGTTCCACATTTGTATGCGGGTTTAAATTGAAACAGTCATCTTAAAGATCATTCTGTGCAGTTCACAGCCCTGTCCTTCATAATACCTGAAACAATCTACTTTCTGAGCGACACGTCCATGAAGGTGTGCGGACTATTTCGGGGCGACTATTTGGCCTTCATGACGTTATCATGACGTCATTGAAATCCTGTCATTCCATTGGCCGTGCGGCGATCAAGGCGAATAAAAGTATAATTGTCGAGTCGCTGATATGTGGCGTTCAAATGCACGATTTCCAGAGATAGCAGTTGTCAGTTGGTTCCCAATCAATGTTGTGTAAGGTACGATGACGCGATCAAATAATCATGTAATGTGGAGCATACTTACCGATCAGCGAAATTTCGCTATTTATAAAAGTTTTCCAGCCTTAGCAACACACCATTAGCTACAAGTGAGCTTTTTCATCATATCCACCCATTTCCTCAACATCTTCAAATGTGGAACATTCCTTTTGCACGGCTCACCGGGGATGTCATGTCTATATTATTTGGTGAGGGGATCGCTGATCTGACCTTACACTTTGCCCACGATCGTGTTATTTTGGTCGTGTCATTGATGCGTTATTAAAGTTTGTTCTGCGGTTCACAAAAAAATGCACAGCTACCACAGTTTCGTAGGCCCGAGTATAATTCCGTTATTTTCTCAGTTCTTTCACAGATTGTTTCGCTTGCGATGTAAATTTCGAAAGGCTTTGATAGGTAGATAGGTAGATGCAAGAGCATCTATTTCGCATTCATTTGTACTACAGATATTTGAATACTGGGATATTTTTGTTTTATAGTAAGTGCTCACCTGCCTGGCAAAACATTTCCGCTGAAGGACCCCTGAACACAAACGCACTTTTCCAACTTCCAGAAAGAATGGCATATGCTAGTGTCTCCTAAATGGCGTGTTCAGTCGCTTAATGCAGAGACGTATCTAGCGCCAGACCACAACATGCGTGAAAGGACACCAACCTAAATTTCTGGCTGATGCCGTATGCCTGAGCCATTTTTGGTATCCCAACTTGCGCTTTTAAAAGTTACGTTTCAAGTGAAACAGATATATACTTTTACCCCGTAGATATATACTTTTTATTGAGGGAATGTAATGTTACTACCTGCTTAGTGTGTGTTCTGAGCAGCCATGTGTAGGGATTTAGGAGCTTGGCTTCTATGAGCATCTCTTTTTATAAATATTTTGCATCCACGAGCATCCGAGAAGAAACACCATGCCAGATACGCTTCAGCAAGGAACGGAGAGTAGAAGTGGCAAAGGTTTCATTTTAATGAAATGGAACACTTAGTTACGATCACCAGGATGGTGAAACATGTCAGATTGGGTCGTGAATTAAAGTCAGGTCGATGCATAAATGTTTTTCCATCCGATTATTTGTGTTTTTAGAACGATGCTACCACCCCCTCTTCCATTCATTATACGCTCGAAGTCACCAAAAACTTAATACGTCGTTATATTCTAACTGCGCAACCTAAAACTGCAAGTGCCAAATGCAAAACCACCTGTAAAAATGTATGGGGCATCGAAGAGTTGAAGAGAAGCCTTTGATCCAGGCGAGTACCAGCGACGCCGCCAGACGAGCGAGTGTTACATGATCTGTGATAAGATTTGTTCAGCTCGAGCGGCTCGGTCCGGCCCGGACCGGCCGTCACGCTTTCTAGGATATCATATCCCTGCAACCGGTGTCCGCAGGCCCATGCCGTTTTCGGTCGCGCGAAGATCACTTCCTTAAAACTAAGTTAAAGCAAGTTAGGTAAGTTAAAAAATTCCTTTTTGTAAATGCATAAATTGTTATAGCCTTGCTTGCAAGCTACTTTATCAGGGGGTTCTTCCCGGAACAATACAAATCGCCATAAATCCCGTTTCTTGAAAAAACAACGTTGAAAGTAAGAGAGAAAGAAGAAACAAAGAGGAAAGAAAAGGTTAGCCAAATGGCAATTTAGCATAGAAAACATTTTCACACTGCGTGCATATTGAAGACGGGTCGAAGTCAGCGCCAGATATCGACCACTTGGTGTCGCAACGACATGATACATACTCTGACAGAGCAGAAAACAGACTATAGGATAGACAAAAGGATTAGCCAACGCGTCCAGAAAACCACGTACTCTCCAACAGAAGCCGTGTTAGGCAACCGGAGCAAATGAAGACGCGAACTCCCTGCATGATGCAACCACAGCACAAACTTGTTCTGATCAATGATAACACCCTTTCCTTTGCAGAGGCGCCTGGTGGAGAAGATAGCGTCTTTCTCGAAACCCGTGCATGACGGCGTTTGCGTATCCCACTCAGCGTATGTGGTGGACTTCTCGCAGCATGGGTCAGCCGCTCCTCTGCAATTCAGCCTGATCCGTGACCCAATTGACAGGGTCATGTCAAGGTCAGTGGGGGCGAATACGTGGATTGCCAAAGAAGTGCGAGGAATTAAGTACACAGAAACGTCACAGATCGGAGGAGTCTGTTTTACTTTTCAGCGCACAGTCCCATGGAAGCAACGGACTTCTCCACCTACCTTCCTGCTTTCAATGCTTCTGGAGAAGAATTTCACGCGCTAGCTCCCCAGCCACGGTTCCGCGGCTGTACATACACTCCAGTCCGCAGCGTGTCTCCTTCCCCGTAAACGTGGCTTCAAAAACGGGAAAAGTTAGGAGCCACTTGAAGCCAAGTCAGGGCTAAAGGTCAGGTCATGCAGATCTCCAAAGCCGCAGCTGTCAATGGCTGCCCGCACAACTCGGACCTTGTGAAGAGACGCGTTGCCACGAGTGGGCGAGAGACGTGCAGTCAACGTAACAGAGTTGACCAAGTGCCAAAATCTTTTTGCAAGACATCTCATCAGCAAACCTCCAGGGATCAAAATAAGTCATAAAGAGAAACCATGCCTGAGCGTTAAAGGTGTTGTAAAAAGAAGATGGAGCAACAATTTTGACGGTAAAACACCAGCATGGGGGCACGAAGATGCACATTCCTATACATAACAACAGTATGTATCAAGACCCTCGCGGCCGCGTCGGCTCAAACTTGCAATTCGCCAAGGCTCTTTATACCAGGTGCGGTCATCCGGCAATTTGACAGACAGGTGGTCACGTGACGTCATATTTTGCCTCTGATGTTGGCTTGGGAGTGGGTGCTATGTTGGTTGGCATGTCTGCCCCTCCCCCCGTAGGTCCTGATTGGAGGGTGTGAAGGACCTGAAAAGCTGACCGCAGGGCCGGAGCCTCAAATATCAGCAAGAGGGCCTCTTGCACCGATCGGGGGCCCTGTGGCAATATGGGGCTCTGCGATCCCCAGCGCCGAACAGTCGGCTTCGTTTCTGTCTGGACGCTGGAGCCCAGTTCCAAAGCAGGAGGAAGCACCTATTTCCAAAGCAACAAGGGAAGGACCTTCCCGGTTATCTCGGTTGGTAGAATACTAGACCGCCACCAGGAGACCCTGGTTCGAATCCAAGTAATTTCAAGGAGAGGATTCGGGACGTGATGCGTACATGGCCGAAAGCCAAAGCCAAATGCAGTCCTTCCCAGGACTCCAGAACACCTGACGACGGCCGGAGAGTTAACTGACCGAAACAAACAACGGACAGGAACGGTAGTCTGAACAATTAATTTATTCGTGTTACTTATCTTTTTGCCACGCATTCTGCGCGGTAAACGGTTTGTGACGAACCGCGAGGGCTGGTGGCAAATAACATCGTAATATTTCTTGGAAATTTGCTCCTGGAACAGAGACGAACTTTTGTGGAATATCTCCAAGATTGTCATATGTGTTTGGTAAAAACACCAATTTTCGGGCTGTTGCCTTCTTTGTTGGTAAGCAGCCCTTTTCATCCATATAAGCCTCTCTTTAACATGAAATGGCGCACCAGCCTCTTAAGCCTTTTGTGTTGCTACCTGCTTTTCTATTAGTTCTTGAGTGATATTTCTTTTCCGGCACCTAAACCTTCTCTTTTCATTGCTTTGTCAGATCAGTCTGAGAAAATCCAAAATTTTTGGCCACTCATGGTGTGGGGGTACTAGCTTTCTTCTTTTTGCCTGGATGGGGCCTTTGCGTAAATGAGGATGGGTCTTTACGTATTCTCCTCATATTCTTCACTTTTCTGCCCGAGTCACACTATCATTGGCTTCCCATCAAGCTGTCAGGCTGCCAACCCGTACCCATCAATAAGCTCTTTAGAATGTCCCAGCCGTTCCCATGATGCCCATTCTTGGCGATGGAATATCTCACAGCGTAGGCACTGCCGACGTCAGAGCTATTTTCAAACTTTGGATTTGCTCTCGGAAAACATTTTTCTCCTTGACAGCCATGCTTGAGATCGCAAAGGTGAAATGAACAGTCAGATGCCTGCCACGAAATAAAATTTACTAACCGTTATGTGATTACAGTGATTCGCATTCGCGTTTATTGTCTGTGAAGCTATACCTGCCCGACCTGCTAAGTCGGGCACACGATCAGTGCTCTGGTCGATGTGAATCTGTGGCCCGCAACATCTCCAAACGACAACCCGCTGCTGTGGGATGAGACAACATCACCTGGAAGGGTGCTGAGTGAAGTCACGAAGTTCGCCGCGAGATCTGCCAGGGCGAGAGAGCTCCTGACACCTGACTAGGCGCCGACCACCCCACTCTGCCTCGCTGATCTATGTTCAGCTCCGGCCACCTGACCAGGTGCCGGCCACCCCCACTCTGCGGCACTGGCCGGTGCTCAGCTCCGGCCACCTGACCAGGTGCCGGCCACCCCCACTTTGCCGCACTGACCGGTGCTCAGCTCCGGCCACCTGACCAGGTGCCGGCCACCCCCACCCTGCCTCACTGATCGATGCTCAGCTCCGGCTACCTGACCAGGTGCTCGGTGTTCAGCTCCTGTTACCTGACCAGGTGCGGGCCACCCCCACTCTGCCTCGCTGATCTATGCTCAGCTCCGGCCACCTGACCAGGTGTCGGCCACCCCCACCCTGTCTCGCTGACCGGTGCCCAGCCCGGGCCACCTGACCAGGTGCCGGCCACCCCCACTCTGCCTCGCTGACCGGTGCTCAGCTCCTGTCACCTGACCAGGCGCCGACCACCCCGCTCTGCCTCGCTGATCTATGCTCAGCTCCGGTCACCTGACCAGGTGCCGGCCACCCCCACTCTGCCTCGCTGACCGGTGCTCAGCTCCTGTCACCTGACCAGGCGCCGACCACCCCACTCTGCCTCGCTGATCTATGCTCAGCTCCGGTCACCTGACCAGGTGCCGGCCACCCCACTCTGCCTCACTGACCGGTACTCAGTTCCTGTCACCTGACGAGATTCCGGCCACCCCCACCCTGTCTCGCTGACCGGTGCTCAGCTCGTCACCTGACCAGGTGCCGGCCACCTCCACTCTGCCTCGCTGACCTGTGCTCAGCTCCGGCCACCTGACCAGGTGCCGGCCAGCCCCACTCTGCCTCGCTGATCGGTGCTCAGCTCCGACCGATGCCCACCTGAGCGACGAACGGGCCATCATTTCCCAGCCGGTCACGTCCATGTTTCACAACGCGCTGTCCACTGAATGAAAGAGAAACAATGAACAAGGACTGAAGTGACAGCGAGCGTGAGTGCCACCGGCGACGGGGAACTGATCCGCGACGAGGTCAGAGCTTGATCGCCATCAGACACCGCACTCCCGGCAAGGTCGGCTCGCCCCTCCGACCCTGGAGACACACCAGAGCGGCTCGTTTTCTCATGATTACGTGAGAAGGTTGCTGACAACAATGCTCCCGCAAAACAAAGAGCTGATTTCAGACAGCGCAGTCGAAAGCCATCGAGGTAAACGCTGAGCAATGGCTGTGGTGAAACACAGAATCAGTGCTTCTGTAGACAGAGCGCAGGGTGCCGCGGTTATGTCATGCCATCGTCTGCGTCTGCTGTTAATGCGCGTGAGCGCAGAAAATTAACAAGCAAAACAATCAGATGTCATTCGTAAGTAAACAAAATAAAGGCGATAGAAAACCTCGTACATTTTGAAAATGAGATGAGACTAAGTCGTCTTGCTAGCACCAAGACATTCACACGCAGTGTGATTGTTTGAATAACGAGTGAGCGCTAGAGTTTGACATAAATCTGAAAACATTATAGCTTCACAATTTACGCGAATGCGAATCACTGTAATCACATAACGGTTAGTGAACTTTATTTCGTGGCAGGCATCTGACTGTTCATTTCACCTTTGCGATCTTAAACATGGCTGGCAAGGAGAAAAATGTTTTCCGGGAGCAAATCCAACGTTTGAAAATAGCTCTGACGTCGGCAGTGCGTATGCTGCGAGACCTTTCATCGCCAAGAATGGGCATCATGGGAACGGCTGGGACATTCTAAAGAGCTTATTGATGGGTATGGGTTGGCAGCCTGACAGCTTGATGGAAAGCCAATGATAGTGTGACTCGGGCAGAAAAGTGAAGAATATGAGGAGAATACGTAAAGACCCATCCTCACTTACGCAAAGGCCCCATCCAGGCAAAAAGAAGAAAGCTAGTATCCCCACACCATGAGTGGCCAAAAATATTGGATTTTCTCAGCCTGATCTGACAAAGCAATGAAAAGAGAAGGCTTAGGTGCCTGAAAAGAAATATCACTCAAGAACTGGTAGAAAGACAGGTAGCAACACAAAAGGCTTAACAGGCTGGCGCGCCATTTCATGTTAAAGAGAGGCTAATATGGATGAAAAGTGCTACTTACCAACAAAGAGGGCAACGGCTCGAAAATTGGTATTTTTACAAAACACATCTGACAATCTTGGAGATGTCACACAAAAGTTCGTCTCTGCTCTAGGAGCAAATTTCCAAGAAATACTACGATGTTATTTGGCACCCCAACCAACATGGCAACCACTCCCAAGCCAACATCAGGGGCAAAATATAACGGTACGTGACCACCTGCCTGTCAAATTGCCGGATGACCGCACCTGGTATAAAGCGCCTTGGCGAACTGCAAGTTTCAGCCGACGCGGCCGCGAGGGTCTTAAATATACTGTTGTTATGTATAGTTGTGACTACATAGCAAAAACAAATTGGTGGGACGGAAAAATGACAGTAAGTTTGACCCTGTAGTTATATTCACTGAACTTTAGCATTTTTGTACGACAGGAACTCGAGAAGTGTCATTGTTTGGATGAACTCCACAGTACTCAGAAATTGTCTGTTATACTATTCGGTATGACAATTAGAATAGTTCTGAAATCCGGCGGGAGAACTTAGGCACCAGCGGAGTACACGACGTTACCAGAAGGTATTTTTGTGCCTGCAAGCAGCAGCAAACTTGCATATCGGGTGCCCTGCGGTTGCAAAAGTGGTCACCAGCTGGTGGAGGCTGAGAGGTGAGGGAGTGTATCGCGTGGCCCGTTTGCCATGCAACACCGTGTTAAGGTCATTACATATCTATCATGGTGTGTCCCAGCTACACGTGAGGCCGGCAGTACCGCCCCAGTCGCGGGCTGGCAGATCAGAGCGTCTCAAGAATCGCGTTACGTCCACGTTGTGAGAAGAATTTTTGTGCCCACAAGCAGCAGCACGTTTGTACGAAAAGATTAAAGATTTAAGATTTCGGAGGAAATGTTTGTTATGTGATCAATGTGCCAACAATACATAGTTGGCTGGTGGTAGGGTGCGCACTTGGATTGATCAAGGTTCGTTAACGGGACTTCCTACGGTATCGTTGCGGACCGTGCTTGTCGTCAAGTGCCTGCGGCGACGAGCGTTATACATGTAACACTGACCATACGCACACATTAGGATGACACGAGCCGTAACCCAGCCCGTGCCATCCGAACTCTGGTCACGGCGGCAGAATAATCCGAATCAAGGATGCGCAAACGATCCTCTAGCAATGCTACGGCGCTGCTAGACATGTCGTGCTGTGACAAGGGCGCAGTCCATCACTTGCGTTTGATTGTTCGCGCGGGGGCGAACATAAGGCGCCATGGTCGGCTAAGAGTGCCGCGGGCGCCATGGTCGGCTATGAGTGCCGCGGGGACCATGGTCGGCTAAGAGTGCCACGGGCACCATGGTCGGCTATGAGTGCCGCGGGCGCCATGGTCGGCTATGAGTGCCGCGGGCGCCATGGTCGGCTATGAGTGCCGCGGGCGCCATGGTCGGCTATGAGTGCCGCGGGCGCCATGGTCGGCTATGAGTGCCGCTCTGCCCGCGCTGTTCGGAGCTTGACATCGCGCTGACCTGTGCCTGTCTGTTGTTGTGTGGTGATAGATGACCTCTGCCCGGCCAGGTTCACCCACAGTCGGCTGGTGGGGGGCTTCGGGCCGCCGCCGGGCGCCGAGCCGGCCGGCCAGACGCCAACTCTGGAGCAGTGCCTGCGGGACGGCCGGCCCGAGTGCACCTTCCTGAACGGCCACCAGTACCCGGAGCTGGCCGTGCCCTTCTTCTGCGGACACGACAGCGAGTGCACGTGAGTCCAGCCGAATCATTGGCAATCCAACTGTTCATGTGGGCATTAGGTGCGTCCATGCATGTCCAAACGTATCCACCCATCAGCGCGCACGCCTAGAGACGCGCACACAAGCGGACATTGAACTTGCCCACGGACATGCACATCACCTTCTAGCAGGCTGAACGCCTGCAAGTGTACATGGAATGAACGGCTATGCATGCCCGCACGCCCGCGCGCACCATCAACCTACTGACACACAGCTACTGACACACAACTACCAGCACGCCAGACGAGGACGATGGTGCGAACCATTGTACCATCCGTGATATTAATATATCGTCTAGATTCTTCCGTAAAGCTACAACAATAAGAAGTTATAAAAAACAAAACCTATTGAGTTACTCATTGTGAACTGCCACAAATAGACTTCGCTACGCGCATTGGATACGACCGATCTTACACACATCTATTTGATCACTTTTTCAAAAACGCAACAATGGGGGTACCCCAAGGATCCATTCTCGGCCCAATCCTCTTTTTAATGTACATAAATGACCTACCTAAATTAAACAGTAACATGACTTGTCTGTCTTATGCTGATGACACTGCGATTGTTTTCAAAAATAAAAGTATTGGCGAACTTCAAAACAATGTCAGTACGCTTTTGCTGATGACTTCTTGGTTTGCTGCTAATTTTCTCTCCATGAACGTATCAAAAACATTCACACAGCATTACACAACCCTTTCTTCGCATTTCCGACTAAATGTGCAAATTAATGATTCACCTATTGAAGAGAAAAAAGAAGTTAAATACCTTGGTGTGATCATTGACAAATCTCTTAAGTTTACAAGCCACACTAATTTTGTTGCAAGCACAGTAAGTAGAAATATCGGAATAATAAGTAGGGTTAGGTACTTTATTGATAAAACAACGTCACATCTACTCTATAACACTTTGATTCTTCCTTACCTAAATTACTGCTGCTTGGTTTGGGGCATAAATTATGCTTCTCAACTAGATCGATTGGTAATTTTGCAAAAAAGGGCTGTGCGTCTTATAGAAAATGTGTATCCTCCGCAAAGCTCAGAGCCAATCTTTAAACGATACAAAATTTTGAAACTATCGGATATTGCTAAATCTCAAATGTTAATTGTGATGCACAAATTTTTAACTTCACAGCTCCCTGCATCATTCGATTTAATTTACAATCTCTACGAATTCAATGACATGGATATGAGGCGAGCAAAACATTTAGAACAACCTTTCTCTTATCGTAATTATAGACTATTTACAGCATCCTGCCTTGGCCCTAAGCTGTGGAACGACATTATGGTTCCGTATTTTCCAAGAATAGCTGATATCCCTGTATCGAAAACCATCGTTAAGAACATCATCTGCAAGCATTTCGTGAACACATATTAACGTAACAAACATATTTGAAGACATTGCCATCCTTGTGCTGTACATATCCAACGCACTTCATATTTGACCTCCTTCATATTTCATAATCAATTTCTGATATAAAGTCATGCACATATACCCAAAATTAATGGCGCTGGCTCCGGGAGTTCTCCCAGCAACAAGCTCTGCTTAGCTGGGTGGACTCCCTGGAATTCCAGCCCAAAACCCAGCACAAAAATGACCAGGTAATTGCCCCCTCCGACTTGTGACTGTATAGCCCTTACTAACACCGGGAATTGAGTGGTTGTAGATTATTGGGCGGTTGTAGCGGGCTGTCATTAGCTGATTTTGGCTAATGACTACTTTAAGCCTTTTCATCTATGATTTTTCCCTCCCTCCCACATAACACAATTCCCTCGGGTCTGCTCCACCTCCTCGCCTGTTTTTTTTAAGTTTGTTTCATCTTCCTAGCTGGGAGTGCCGCGACTTGATTTTATGTTTTCTGGTGTTAACGTACGGTTTACTGCGTCGCTGGGATTGAGGGAGGGGTACTCCTGGTTACCTGTTCTTGGGTAACGGCGTAGAAAAAAAAAACTTACGTGGTCGACTTCCTTCAGCTGCCTAAAAATACGGTATGGTGCTCTGGGCGTCTCGGAAGACGCCTCTGAAAGCTCTGAGAAATGCTGCACCAACCCACTGTTCTGACCAGGGAAACAGTTCGAGGCGTGGCACACGATCCAGATGCCTGGTGCAATGGTTCAGTGACATACCATTACAACGGCAACCTCGAACCACACGCAATAATGCAAGCCTTCTTTAATTAGGGTCTTCAATGTGAGGGTATATGCCTATAGCCAACATTGGTACGAAACCGAGGTCACAAATGGCGTGACTGTGGTGTGATGCAGCGCCATGCATGATTGCGGGACATTTAATGCTATCGCTGTCTGCTGACCAGACAGTCGACAACGCTGTCCGTCAACCAGACAGTCGACACCGCTGTCTGCTGACCTGACAGTCGACACCGCTGTCCGTTGACCACACAGTCGACACCGATGTCTGCTGACCTGACAGTCGACGACGCTGTCTACTGACCTGACAGTTGGGGCCGCTGACAGTGACTGATCAACGCTGACCACATTCTGTCCCGATAGGCGGCACAACTCGCGCTGGGCGCTGGAGCGAGCCAAGCGCACGGTGGAGCGCCGCTTCGTTACAGTGGGGGTGCTGGAAGACATGAACACCACGCTGGCCGTGGCCGAAACGTTGCTGCCCAGGTTCTTCTCCGGCGCCTGGGACCGCTTCTTCATCGACCTCGTCGGCCAGATCGGTGCGTTTGTCGTCTGCTATTGAACTTAACCCGTGGGGCCGCTAGTCCAACATGAGCTGTTTTCTGTGCAGCGTGACAGTCGAATCTTGTGGGACGGACGAACAATATGGGACGGACAAACAATATGCGCTATCCGTTTTCATGATGGAAATATTTTTCATGACAAAGTGTTCACAAACTGATAGGATATGCTAAACAATACGAAGAGAAAATAATTGTTTTCATGCAATTTTATGGACATTCAATAGCCAAACCACATTCATCAAATTCAAGATCAGTTTATACACGAAACGGGCTCCGTATATACACATCTCTTTCAATCCATGCCTTGAATCAAACCCAAAGGCTATGATAATGCCAGCCTGACAACGGTAATGCAGTTGTATCCGATGAGGGCGCTGAGTGCTGACTGCTCTACTATTATTCACATCAGTATCATGTGGAGCAAGGCATGCTCGAGGACCCTTAATAGCCATTGTCATTGGTCATTCATGATTGTCATTTATCGTGGATGATATTTAGGTATGTGAGCTTTGTAAGTACCGTATATATATATATATATTATTAGATATATATAATGATATATATATATATATTATAATATATATCACCCGGCGGCAACAGGAGTATAGGATTCTGTTTTGTCGCCGTCTTGCAGTCAAACTGACCACCCGAATCCTTTTAACACGCGCCCGGGTGGCCGGTCGGACGCCCTTCACTTGGGTGGTGGGGGGTGGGGGTCAATTTGATCCCCTGAGATCTCAGACTAAGAGAGCTAAAGACACCAAATTTACAGGGTGTGTTGGCCTGGACTTGAACTCACTTAGGTCAAATTTTGAAGCTCCTAGTTCATGACCTCTGAGTCAAATAAGGTCAAACAAAGTCAGTTTCCGGATTAGTCTCCAAAGTGCCCCCAGAACTTCGATACCTGTCCTAAGCAAAAGATAACATGCTCATTTGAGGTCAGTGGCCTTGTTTGACCTGTCGAAAGTCATGGTGACCTTCGACAATCATACAGGACTGCTTTAAGTTTTGCACTCGAATCAGCGACACAGATTGCGCTAGGTAGTATGTTCCTGAAAACAAAATTTTGAACTGGGTCATTTTCGGTCAGTGACCTACTCTGACCATTGAGAAGTCTATGGAAGATGTATAATGTGGTTGCTGTTATCACTAAATTTGAAATGAGCACCAGAAACTATCCCGTACAGTAAGCCTTTGAGCAAAAAACAAATGGGTTTTGACCTAGGTCTGACCTTTGCAACTGACCTTAGGTCAATGGAATCTGTTCATTCAATTGCTGTATTACCTAAGAAAGTATCTCAGAAAGGTGGGACTTCATCTAACAGTCCGTTATAGCATCAGATTGAGCAATCCCCTAGAAATTGCCTTCGAAGAATCCATGACCTGACTTTGACCTGCCGTAGGTCAGCGACCTTACAAGGTACATCCAAATTTATAATACCAAACGATCTGCTATTAAATTGTCTACAGCGTTGTAGAATTTGGCGCGGCTACGCCGCGCCGTTCGGAAAACATTCCGGAAAAAATATTTGAGGGGTCAATTTGACCTCCATCCGAGGGCGCGTTAAAAAATGTCGGCGGTAAGTGAGCTGGCATCATAGCTGCCCGTGCAAGCATGCTCTTATGATAACCAACAAATCGCAATTTCATTGACACATCTGTCTTATATATATATATATATATATTCTTACATACGTCATCTCAATGCATGCGTGTTTAATGGTTTTAAATATATGCAATGCATTTCAAGACAAAAATCGCATAAAAGTTTCGTCGTTCGGAAATGAACGCAGAACTTAGGGACGAAAAAAGCTCCGCACCGTAACCCTTCGTAAAATTGGATGTGCGTTGTGTGATGGTCATGCATACACCCACGGAATCACAAACCCTCTTTCACTTAGCAGCAAGCAGCAGCCCATGGTCACCGAGACCGGAGATCGTACCCATCCAGAGAATCTAAATGGGCCCACCGGATGCCTTCCCGTGTCGTGCGCATTCCAGCAGAGTCAATGCCTGTCGTGGGCCAGCAGGACACCTGTACGTTGTTAGAGCGATGCAGAGTAATTTTCCGTGTGTATTAACGTGATGTAGTCTACCCAGAATATCTTACTGTTCCGCCGCGTCGTTACATCAAATGTCGTGCCTGTTATTTGCGTGAGGGTACGCTTGATCAGGTTTCAGATATACTAGCGCCGCCGGTGTCAGCTGATACTTGTTGCGTCGCCAGGGGATTCCATGCTGATACGGCCGCGTGGCGAGCTCTCCAGCAAGGCGCGGAGCCAGCTGAGGGCTAACCTGACCACCGAGTACGAGTTCTACGAGTTCGTGCTGCGCCGAGTCGAGCAGCAGTACAACGCATTCGTGCTGGGGTCCTAGCGCTGCGGCACGTCTGCCTCGTGAGCGCACCAGGTGCCCCCACCGGAGCCGCGGCGGTGCACTGCCGGGCGCCCGGCTACTGATCACGTCCGCGGGCGGGCTGGCTGGAGACGGCCGCCCCGCCACCGCCACCGGGCGACGAACGGACGCAGATCCAGCCGAGAGGCTTCAGATCCGGCCCAGCAGATCCGAGCGGCTGCTGGTCCGGGGTGTGTGGGTGTGTGCGTGAGAACGCCCGGTGTCAGCCTGGAGCACGGATCGACACCGGCGCCGGTCAGCGCCGAGCTACGCCGCCGGCCCCGGTGAGCACGGCCGGTCTGACGGCCGGTCTGAGCGTGCGGCTGCCGCCGTCTGCCAGCTGCGGGGCAGCTGTCTGGGCTCACACGGCGTCGGCCGGCGACCACGGCGGTCTGGGGGGACCTGCCACGGGGCAGAGCTACCGACCACGGCGGTCTGGAGGATCCTGCCATGGGGCAGAACCATTGTCGGGAGCGTCGGACGGTCCAGCAGCGCGACATGTGCGTCGCGGCTCACAGCGGCAGTCTAGTCTTTCATGTCAATATGGACGTGCTGGTTTTGGTTGGCTATGACGGACGACGCCCTCTATTGTTTATCATGTTAGAGCTGACTGCGATTTGCGTGTGCGTGTGTGTGTGTGTGAGGACAGTTGGTGTGATTCATATGCCAAACGTTTCGTTACTGTGATCCTACAACGACATTTGTGGCATGACTTTTGCCGTTTGTTGGCTGATGTGTATGGATAACATTTCGAGGTCTACCTGCGAGCGCCAGTGATCAGGCCCTTGATGCAACTGAAGTCTGGTGGTCAAGATGTACTTCGCCATTAATGGGTGCGAATGATGTCAGAAGGAATCAACGTTTCTGATTGGCAGAACAGATGGCGTAAGGCATCCAGCGATAAGTGCATTGTTGGTGGAAGTTTGAACATGTGCGTCAATTCACCAAGTGATGTGGCGCTGGTAGATACCTGCTTTGTCAACACAGCATGTTTGCCAGTCAAAATGCCATTCGAAAAGAGTCACTATGCTAAACGCCATATGGAGTAAATCAGAACAACAGCATAAACATTCATTGCATTCGCGTGGATATTGCATCATATTTGTACACCGTCCTCCACAATAAATAATTTCAAGGTCTTATGACACTTATCGCACAAGCGACTCAACTGATTAGTGCATAAAAGTCATGACAAACAAGGCATGATTGTAAAAGCAAAGGAAATGAAGGTCGTTACATTCAGGGTGGTATGCAAACAGTCCAATGACATTTTCCCCGCAAGAGCGGCTACTTCAAATCAAATTTCTGAGCTTTTCAGAAGGGTTTTCAGAAAACTGGTAATACCAACCAAATCAGACGCGGCTGATGCAACTATGAATGAAAGGCACAAACAAGATGACATGTTCCCTTTAACCGCATTATTTCTGGCGCTTTCTACCGGACGGGAGGAGGGGAGAGGGGGAGGGAAGCCAAGTACGCGTTGAGCCGTTTTAAAACAACATCACGAAAGAAAGGACAATGAAGTCTTTAACACATAGACAAATCCAGTGAAGACCGACATGCTATGTGTGGTGCATGCTCTCCATTGGTATTCATGGAGACCTACCTTCCAGGCCACATCAGAAAACGTCTAAAGGTGGTTCATTCAGTGCTGCACGGGATTTCTCTAGCCGTTGCGCCCAAACCACCCAATACAGCGCTACACAATAACACCATGAACTTTCTCCTTACTTTACACATGACATGATACAATCGACGGACGGCGCCAGGTCAGCCTGCGACTTCTTAGAGTGGTTCAAAAAGGATAATATTTGAAGGCGAGGGTCAATCAGCTACTTAATGAATTGCTCGGTCGAAAGTGATGCATTTCGATTGAAATTAAGCAAAGACAGTCCTTTGGATCCCATTCAACGCAATGCTGACCGTCCTGCACCTTTCGGTCAAAAGAGTGATACGAGAGACCGAGGTCACCGACCTTACTTGATCCCGAGCCTCGACCGTCAGTCACTTGATTCACAGAGACTCAGGGACCTCACTTGACTCTAGCTACTCACCGGTAGTAATGTTCCGTGTACTTGCCGTCATGTCTCCGACCTCAGCCCTGCCGTTCGCTACAGCCATGTGAGCCGACATGACCTGAGACCACCTTGGCGTGTCAAAGTCAGTTTTGTACAGTTCGTGGTTTTTGACACACCAGCAGAGCTACATGAAAGCTGTACTTGAATTTCTTCATATGAGGTCACACGAGGTCACTGACCTAGCTTGACCTCTGTGTGGTCAGATGCCAACAGACCATCCAATAAACCTGTCACAGCCTCTCCATTGAAGCCTTTTACAAATCGATGATGACTTACCAATTTCGTTCAGTACGTACTCGGAACAGCGAAATAAACAGCTAATACCTCGTGCAAACGTTCGAGAGGAACATCACATCTCCATTACCTGACCCGACACAAGGTCACATCTCAATTACCTGACCCGACACAAAGTCGCAATCGGTCTCAAGCTGTGAGACATGTTTGCCCGCATGTGTAGGGAAGCACTGCGGTGTCGAGCGCAGTCACTGGCTTCATCGGAGAAACTTGAGAGGTCGATTTGGACCGCTCCGATAGCGCGGCGGCTCATAAATCATGATTGGCTGCTCCGTTTGACGCAGGTGCTCCGTGCAAATGTAAGCATAGCAGTTTTTAGTTTAATGAACACCGTGCAGGCGTAGCATATTATCCACCGGATTGCGAGAACCATTGCACCCCAAATGCCTATTATTGTAAGGTGGGCAGCTAAATACTGCCCACCGTCTATCTGGATAAGTGCAAGAGCAACAAAAACGAAGTAGGGTTTGATACCTGGGTACCTGAGGAGCATAAAGCATCCATCCGATGTCTACTCAACTGTTCGCGCAATTCCACGCGCCGCTTGTGGGCGGGCATTGTCTCATAGCCCTCTGCCTCTATCAGCTCCTTCCCTGGCGGGAGCCGTCTCGTAATCCTCTGTCTCCATCAGCACCTTCCCTGGGGGGGGGGGGGGGGGGGGGGGAGGGGCCGTCTCCTAGTCCTCTGTTAACATCAGCACCTTCCCTGGCACTTGCAATGGTTTGCTACCCAAGCTAACAGAAGTGCACTGACCGCAAACCACATGCACGATATTATGGCAGATTGCAGCAGCCATGATATTCGACCGCAGCGCCACCTAGGACGGCACGTCGATACCCTGCCTGCACCGGCGCGCGGTCACGGAATCTGCGGCGGCGCTGCAAGTTACATTGGTTCCTAATGATCTACACATCATGGGAATTATCAGCTCTGAATCCACCCAGGGCGACGCTTCGGCAAAATAATTCAACCGGCAAAGTATATGTCCGGCTGGTTCTGATAAGCCAATGCTACTGAGAGCGTGGGACAACGCTGCACGAAGTATGAGAGATTCATGAGTGTTAAACGGCTTACCAATCTTAACCCCGAGATCCACTTCATTTCGCTGAGACATGCTTTAATGCAACGTCGTTAGTGCCAACGCATCCGGCGACAAATGCGTCGCCACTTTGCGCAGCGAAGTAAAGGAGAAGCGCTTGTCCAACAGCGTCTGTCCGTCTGTTCCCATGTCTTTGGTCAGCCGCACAACACAAACAACTGCACGGATTCCCGCGGCATTTGCGCTTACAACTGGTTTAGCATTCATGACGATCCGTAACAAATATTCACGGCCGTCTGATGTCGGTGTCGGTCACATCCCGTGCAAATGGAGTATGTTTCCGCACTTAACAGAGAGATACTTTCTTTATAGTAGGCGGAAACCAGATTCACAACCACCAAACCATCAAAAGCATTTGTTTTGTTGGGAGAATTTGGCAGCTAAATGGAAGAAAGCTTAGAAGAAAATCACATCAGCTTCAAGAAATTCTTCGACGCTGCAAGACCAATAGAAACAAAGTGGAGAATCGACCGTTGGGTGAGTAGTCTCCGTGACGACAGCTCATGGCCAAGCAAAAGGACGCATTTGACATGAGCTAACAACAGCCCGGTGATTTGTTTTGCTCTTTGTTTGGAGGCTAGCCTGACGTCATCTTACATCTTTTCGCATGAACAAAGACCACGCGCATCTTAAAAGGAATGTTTCACGTTTAAATATATTGAAACAAGCATCAACAGGCCCACTTATGACTTTCGGTATGTTTTTTCAGCAGAAAAGACTGCTCTACACAGCACAATTCTCTGTTTAGTAAATATGCTCCTCAATGCGTCATGATTGATTAAATGATCGTACCTTGTACAACATTGAATGAGATCCAATTGACGGTCATGGTATCTGGAAGTCGCTTCCGCGAGCGCCAGCTAACAGCGTCTCGTCAATCATATTTTTATTGGCCTTGACCTCCACATGGCTTATGGAAAGACAAGATTCGAATAGCGTTATTATGACGTCCTGAATGCCATGGTGTCTTCGAAAACTCTCCCCGATATTCTTTTCCCAATTTTCGCCGGCGTGTAGCTCAGAAATTAGAGGAGCGTAGTTCTTAAGAAGGGCATAGTTGTGAACAGCAGCAAAAGGTTTTCAAGATGGCTATTTAGTTAAAACCCCCATGTAAATGTGGAACATTACCTTCAAAACATTTTTTAGACGTTGGTTCCTGGCTTTAGTTGCTTAAGTCTTTCCCTTTAAGCCTTGAATATGACGGTCTTGAATATGAATATGACGCCTAAAACGTTATCACTGCCGTGCAGCTGATCATCTTCGTTCTTGTTGCATGGAAAACATGTTGCAATTCCAAGCAACGATAAATATAGCAACTTCATAAGGAGAAACAAGAATTAACCGGACGCAGGCACTGAAAGCCAATAGATCTAAATTTAGGTTAGCTTATCTCAGTCGCTCTTAGGCTACCTTAAGTCTAGATCTCTTTTACTGGCAATGATTGACCTTCAAGATGCCATGATATACTGCATAATCAAACTTATCGAGCAAACATTGGCTATGTTGCTAAAAATGTACTTTTTGTGCATGATGAAAACAATCAGAACCTGCTTGATAACATTATTCAATTAGTACATCCTAGTTCTGGCATCTTGAAATTCGACCATTCACGACTTTGAGAGTAAGAACCCCATTAGAGGCAATGATCTCGCCGCTGCCGCTATACTGAACGCTGCTGTTCTAGATGACGCTGCCATGCAGTTATAGGTGACGCTTCCGTCGCAGAACATGTCTAATGCTGGCGCTAGTGATGCACATCGCCGCGCCAGAATGGAGAGGAGTCAGAGAGAAATCCCTAGAAGCGGGTGGAGGTCAGAACTGATCAGAAAACGCATTGGTGTTGGTGTATCGTGCATGTAGAAGGATTTGATTCCGCTTTACATGTGTTTTGAAGCATACAGAAGCGACGCGGGTGTGCATTCAAAGATCTCGAAATGATTAGGGGCACAAAATCAATCACACGGAATTGTCTGCCTCTTATAGTTATAGTTATGCCTCTTATAGTTATAGTTACTTATAGTTATAAACGTACGTGGCACATGACACCCATGCCACAATCGAGTCAGAGTTGCGCGCCTCGTTCAGTTGGTCGGAGTGTGGCGTTCCTTTATGTAATGAGCGACTTCAAACCCATTATGACTTAACTGCGTCCGGTATTACCGCTATTCATGAGAAACAATAGTGGAAGATGGCAGATACTTCCATAGTCCCCAAAACGTTTGTGAGCCGCTGTATACAAACCAAGGTGGGATATTTATTTTACCCACACTGCCTGAGGGCGGCGCATGCTTCTCCTTGATCCTCCCTGTTTTTCCTAACGCCAAGCTGACAAACGCAAAGCAGATATATGGATGGAAGCGTTGGGACGTTGCGGGGCTCACGATCCCCGTCACACCAACGCAGGCGCTCAGTCAGAGCCTGAACAAGAAGGGGGGGGGGGCAGGATTGACAAAGAGCCCGCTGATAGAAAAAGATTCCTGCTAAAAAAATCGTTGGATTTTAATTACTTGCCAGTAAGGCCATCTTTTTTATATTTTTGATTTCTACCTTCTTTAACTGGAAAAGAAGCCAAAGGCTACAATGAGATCAATATTGCTTATGTTGAGTCAATGAACTGGAAAAATCATGGGCAAAACGACTGCATGGAGCAAGTCGCCGACGCTCTTTA